GGTCACGCTGTTCAAAACCTTATCAAAGTAAACACAATGAAAGCGTTACGGTTCCGGTCGCGTTGCGGAAAGCAATTTGAACTGGATGCCCTGATCTGACCCATGTTGTATACATATAATGAGATATTGATCATAGACCTAACAATTATTATTTTTGTTTTGAGTTATACCTGTTTACTTATCCACAAAAAATGCGCTTTAGGGGTTAGTTTTTAACCACTCATTGTCCTCTTTAGATTTTTCTGCGTGACTGAAACCCGTCACTTCAATGCTTAAGCCTGTTATTTGTTGCCAATTTATTTTAAACGTAAGCGAGTTGCGTGAGCCAAAACAAAGCAAAGTGCTAAAAACAACCTGTCACACTGCAAACTGAATAAAATCATGGTTACCCCTGCTACTGTGTATTGGAGAACACTTTCTTGACCTCTGAAAATGTTGGCACAATGAACAAGTTGCATTATGTGGGAGTCAAGTCATGTATTGTAGGTTCATTTTGTTTGAGATGATAGTTGATTTGGCCTGCACCCTCATGAACTAAATCCTTGCAGATTCTCTTGCCATAACCAAGTAAGCCGTAATGCAAGCCTACAAGCAGAACCTGTTCAAAAACAAATGTTTTGTTAATCGGAACACACATCCCTTAACCTCCTAGGCAGGCAAACGCTGTATTGCACATTCCTCCTAAGGAAGTATTGTGTGACTACTGATCGTTTTTGTTTTTTTTAACTTATTCATTTCTTAACTTGTGACAATTGTTCTCACATCCCTGTCGATGAATGACCTCAAATTCCTCTTTCAAATACCCCTTATAAATATATCCCAATTTTGGAAGTACCCGCAAAAAGAAACGTCATCGCTTCTGCATGCATTGCGTGCTGTTTACTTTCTTTATAACTGGCGTTCCTGTTGACGAAATTACGCGCCTTCACAAAAGGTCGAATAACCTTCCGGCATGTCGAGACGTGAAGTGCTAATCACATATACAAATGATTCTTAATTGTGCAATATTTCACTTTGCCCAACTCTTTATTTAATAACAAAACAACTGAACAGGAACCAACCAGTCTGAAAATGAAACTAACAAGTACGCTGATAACAATCGACTATGTGGTTATAGATTATCGATGAGTAATGAATGAAATTAATGACTAATCAATGCAATCAATGACTAATCGATACAATCGATGACTAATCGATAACCAAACATTCTGTGGCCTATCGATTAGTCATCGAGTACTCATTGATCATCGGCAATAATCAATGATTAATCAACTGATTACCTATTGATTACTCATTGGCCCGATTTATACTGGAGACGGATCATCCGTCTGGGACGAGCTTGGCCAAAGAACGGTAGTTCATCTGAAAATCCGTCTGTGTGTAAATAAGGGCAAGCAGATGGATCATCCGTCTTGACGAGTTATCAACGATGGTTCGTCTCACAAGACGGACTATCGCGATAACTCGAACACAGACGGATTATCAGACGAGCTACTGTTCTTTGCCCAAGCTCGT